TTCTTCTCTCTCTCTCTCTCTCTCTCTCTCTCTCTCTCTCTCTCTCTCTCTCTCTTTTTGTTCCTTTCAACCCGCGGCTCTTGACTCCGCAATTATGTTTGTCGAAATTATGATTGCGAAGATAGAGGAACAAAGCAGACGTTCTCAAAGAATTCTTCCTCGAAGCTGGCGTTCGGCGCGAGCCTGCTTGAATTGCAGGAAAGGCGGAGTCACAGGTCATACGTCATAATTAAACAAAGTCCTGCGACAGGACCACCCACTCAGCCGGCGGGCCACCCCTATCCATTAGCCTCTATTAAATCAAAGCCGACTACGCAATAGTCGCTTGAACGCGTTTATGAAATCAAAGTTTATGACCCGGCACTATCACGAGGTGAATACTTACTGTAAGTAATTCCGGAAGACACACAGAAGCCGCTTTCTTCTCACGCCCTGCGAGCTCAGGCGTGCAATTATTAACACTTGCCCGCCAGTCATTCGGAGCATGACTGGCCCATCGCAGTCGTTTAGAAATCCATCACTGTAGTAACGTTTAGTGTTTTATTTATTATTAAAAAAAAAAAAAGCTTAGCTTCTCTTGAAAGAACGCTAAACAAAAGATAGAACACAGAAGTGAATGTTGTTTCTATAAAATATCATGTATACACACGAGCTATCTGGCACACGTCATCGCGTGCTTTTCGGAATATTTTTAAACAATCAATATAGTAATACTAAATGACTTGCCATTTTATTCAAAGAAGTTATTTAAAGGAAAGATGCTTTCACGAAACGCGTAACACAAAATACACATTGAAAAATCAATCAATGAAATATCTCTCGTCTATATATATATATATATATATACGTACTTATATCAAGCTTAAATTAATATCCTGTTGGAACATCGCTTTTGTAATTAACCGATGAAAGATTTAACAAACGATATCTATTATTAACGATACTTTTATATCAATGAGAAAGCGAGATATGAATGAACGAATTGCATGAATGCGCGTCTGATGAAAAGAAACGACGGAGGCCTATGGAGTCCTCTCAGGGCCGGCGTAACGCTGTCACGGTGCACGAATTTCGAAACGATTTCCTCCTCCACAGATCTCGCCGACAATGATCCAGATGCACGCGTGCATCTGACATTTCTTCGCTCCGCCGTACGGGATTGGGGTAGAGGGTGGTTCATAGAAGGCGGCCCGTACCGCCGAAGTATCCGGTTAAATTGGTCACGGGCCGGAACACGTGTTAGCTGCTATCCCTGACGAATCGTTCCACGTTTTTCCCACAGAGAATATCTTTCGGCGGGGCGGCTCGTTCCTCGCTCATGCCAACGCGGAAGCGCTGGAGCCGTGGCCGGATTCGCCGGCGTAAGCCATTTCTTCGCGTGCGTTCGAAATTAAACCGAGCAAATATCTCGTGGAGCCGTGGTGGCGCGTTGGTCAAATATTTTGTGGAGGTAAGATCTTACGTCACTCCTCCTCTCTCGGAAGAGGGTCGAAAGGTTCGACTCGTGCTAACACGAGCGGCGAAGGCGCTCGTCTTCGAGCGTCTCTTGTTTGCCCTTCGAATTTTTTGACAGTGAGTCGATTATCCGGTCTTCTCTCGTAAAGTTGGACTTTTCACGCCTTCTCGGCGTATTTCCTGGATAATTTGACGGTTTGTGTGTACCAAGATGTTTGCTCTCGCCCTCAGGTGGTTATCGATCGCGCGCGAGTATCGTGCCGATGACAAAATTCATTTACGCCCGAGCTGACTCGTTTCTTTTTCTCATTAGCGATATCGGAGATAAAGGACCGCCGTTAAGTACACCGAGGAGGAATATTACGTACGCTAAAGGGCGCTCGTTGAGCGTCATGTTGTAGGAGGTGCTCGTCAGTTGGTATCAGAGAAAACGCGGAAACGTGCCGCGGAATAAATTTTGACGGAAGAATCCGTTTTAAGCGAACAACGTTATCCAGATGCCACACACTCTCTTTTATGTCGGACGTTATAAAAGGCTGGTAGAAAATTAATAAAGCTGATAATTCCAGAATTAGCAAAGCGAATAGCAAAAGAAGCTAACTCGATTACGAAATCAAATTTAATCTTGTTAAAACGTTCTTAGCAAGTAAAATCATGATTCTGTATAAAAGGGTAAAATAAATAATATTATAAAAATATTCTCTAACTTTTTAAAAGTGTTTTAAAAGTATTTTAAAAGTATTCCAATACCTCTAAATTTAAGGCTATAAATAAATCGCCTTTAAGATATAATAATTTGTTCTTTTTCTCTCTACTTATTTTTATCTCTACCTATTTCAAATTTTAAAACTTGATATTAAAAATTTTTATTTCTTCCGTCTGTCCGCTCAATTATTTTTTTGTAATCACATTTATAATAGTTAAATAGAGTTAACTTTAACATGACTTTAACAAATGTCAGAACTGATTTACATTTATACACATCAGTATTACGCCAGAAATTAATTAATTTACATTAATGTGTGGCAAATAAGATAACCCGGATTTCCGATGATTAAACATTTTGTTACAGGGCAGATTCATCCCGACGACTTTCGGCGTTTATTTTGGCGTTTTATTCGAGCACGTCTGACCGGCTCGACGGATGATCGTCAATGAAATCAGCAGCTGCGCGGGCTTTTTGTCGGCGGCGTGATTTCTCAGCGTTCAATATAAGGAATTGGCAATCGTCGAAGTCGAGCGATCGAGGCGGTCTACGATCCGCGACCGATGGACGGTGGTTCCTGCGACCTGGGATGATCAGGCAAGAGGACAGCCTTCATGGGAGATGCTTCGTGAGCGGGCGAGACGAAGGGATTAGACACGGGCTATGGGGGACTGCGCGCCACCCGGCTTTTCGGCTTGGCCTGGGATTCTACTCGAGTGGATACACCGACTGCCTCTGTCGACGACCGTCTGAATAGATCTAATTCCGTGAGGCCTATGGTACTCGCGCACGGAAAATGCAACTGCGAAGAAGCGGCTCGCACTCTCGATCCCTGAACGTAATCTCTTCTTTTTCACGCGTACGGTTATTATTGTATTAAAAAAAAAAAAAAAAAATAACACAAAGGATCTTTTTAATCTTTCAAATTTTGAGACACGAATCGCAAATGTAATAATATAAGATTCAAAGTAATAAGATTAAACGGGATAAAATTAAAATATATATGAAAATTGAATAATACATATTTTTGATGGAAATGTTGCGGGATATCTGTAAATTTTAAATTTAACTATTATATTTCAAACTAGTACTATTTTTAGAATATATTGATTTCAGATATTTTCCCTCTCTCTCTCTC